CGCCCGCGCGAGGACACGCCTCCGGCCGGCCTGGCGAGGCGGGCCTGGGCGGGCTGCGAGCAGGCGAGCTGTCATTATTTCCTGACCCGGGGAGCCTCGGCCTTTCCCCGAGGGCAGCGCCGAGCCCCTCGGCGGAGAAGAAAGGGTCGGCGACCCTCGTCCCCCCGAGCGCGCTTCCGAGCCGCACCGCGTGTCCGCGGTGGTCCGGGACCGCGGGGCCCAGGCCCGGTGTTCCACCTCCACCAGAAAGTTCCAGCGGGATGCGCTGGGCGTGAAAGGCCTGTTCCACCTTGGACTGGCTTCCTGACCTGTCTTTCGCGACGAGTTCTGGGTTCGAATTCCTGTCTCAAGTGATTGAGCCGCTTCGGACCTTGGTTCCGTCGGACACTCCCTCCCGGTTGACGTCCGTGTATTATCCCGGGTCCCTTAACGGTGTCCCTTTATTATGGCTAGCTCATAGGCAGTTGTCTTTGACTTTAATATCACAGTTAAACTGTATCACGACGTTAAAATGTTAGTTTCCGTGTGACTCATGCTGTGCGATACAGAATGTAATCTGGGCCCGTGTTTGGGTGTCATGTAAACTACTGGGGGGGGGGGCTGAGTCTAAGTCTTCACCAGTTAGTCTGCTTCAGGAAAACGTGTTTGCAGTCGTGGGTTAAACGGAGCAGTCCCTGCCCTCAGACAGCTGACGGTCTAGTTTCCTCTTTGAAGGGGGTGGGTGGCACCTTCCCCTTTTAAAGATTGCCAGGCCTTTTACCTAATCACTCAGAGACACTTTCGCTTTGGAAAAAGGGAGAGAAAATAGAGTTCTTTAAAGAAATAGCCAGAGCATTTCAAATTTACTTCTAATTCTTGTATGCGGTCCAGACAAACGAATTACATGATAGGAATTATAAAAGGTTCAAATGAGCTTGCAGATCACAGCTTGTTACTATTATATTTATAGGATGCTTTCCAAGGACAGGCTCTTGAATATATTCCCAATCCTCATGTAACCTTACAGAGCAGGTGGTGGTATCCTTTAAAGGTGAGGGGAAAGGTGTGCGAAGTTGTGAGTAATCTGCTTCAGGTCACAGAGAATAGAATTGGGACGCTGATAGGGGCACTTCCATAACCTGCAGAGTATTTTCTGTCGGGCCTGTTTCTTTCTTATGAAGGCCTATTATTACAGTTCCCTAGCTCCAGCACCGAAGAAAGTATTTTTGTCCTATGCTCTGGTTGTATTTTCTTGCTATTACATTTTAATTCTTCTTTTCATAATGGAGGAGAAGCTATAGCACCCAGATTAAGTTCTTGGTTTTAGGACAGTTGTTATAGATAGGTTAATTTGGGCCAGTCTCCTGTCATTCTCTTATCTTTTATTTCCTTATTTGACCATTTGCCTGGCTACAGTTCCCCACACCTGCTCCCCCAAGATTGGGTAAGGCTTCAGTGCAGCTTGAAGTAGGTTGCAAAATTCCCAGGCTGTCAAAAGAGCCAACACCTTGGATTCTATGAGTTTAAATTATGAGAGCTGGATGGAATTTAAGATTATACCCAATTCATCTGAAGGACCAGACTTTTCTGCACCTGTTTCCTCAATTTAAATGGGTCTAGATTTTGGATCAAGGCATGTAGTTTGGGTTTCTATTTATTTATCCAAAGTTCCTATCAGAAGGCAAATACAACCCCCCACCCAGTAAAATGGCTATAGTTTTTACAGTTAAGTTTATCTCATTTTTTAGGATATAGCCAACCACACATTAATGCAGACCAAATCTTGAGAAAGGAAGAGGCCATTACGTTTCAGAAGTAAAAGTTAGTTTTGAACTTTAGGTGTTCAAATATAACTAGTGAATAAAAAAATTTCATGCTCTTGACTTTACCAGGTAGTTTATACTGTCCAGTACTCAAGATCCATTCTAAATAATGACTATTTAATAATGGCATTTTTAATTGACTATGTGCTTTTCAGATCTTTTTAATATATGGAATCATTTCAAAAGTGCTTTTTTTAATTGGACCTTTCCTCTATTTTTATGGTCAGTTTTGCTGTTGTTTATATGACAGCATTTAAAAATCTTTGTTTCCTATTAGTTATTTAACTGAGTAGGTTACTTAACCAAGTACAGTTAAAATTCACATTTACTTTTCAAAGGGCAGTATTATTGGGTCAGGAAAGTCATGACATGTTTTTGCACAGAAAAACAGAAAAATATGTTACAACTTTCCCAACAAGCTAACGTAAGACTTAAAACACTTGTGGACATTATGGCTGTTGAATGACCTGAAGCAGGAGTTGATTTTTTTGGTCTCTTTTCTCTCGAGACATCAGTAGAATCAGTATTGATGACATTTAAAGTTAAAATTATCATTTCCTGGGACCAGCAGATGGTGTAATGGCTACGTCACTGGACTCCCATGGAGTCGACCTTGGTTTGAGTCCCAGACATGGTGGTTTAAACTCACGCTGGCTGTGCATGTGTGTGCCCAAGATCCTGTGAAGAGAATGGAAGAGAAGGGATTGCAGCGTGGCTATCCCCCCGAGGGGTGATTTCTTGCTTTCTGTCTTTCTGGTGAGCACACCACCTATAGCAATCACCCCCCCCACCCCCGCCAAAAAAATAAAATGATCATTTTCTTAGCCTGGAGTGTTTGTTATTGTCAGCTCCTTTGCCTGCCTTCTTTCTTTTATAAGATCCAGCTCAGATGCCACCCATCCTGTACCCACCCTAGCACCTCAACCCTAGGGCAGAATTTTTGGCCACTTGTATTGTGTCTCGAGTACCTTCTACATTTAGTATATTTTAGTTATAGCTCTTACTGCATCATGTTGCTTGCTTGCTTCTTGAATGGATGGTGGATTCCCCCAAAGCAAAGACCGTACTTTACTCTTCTTCGCAACCTTAGGCTTTAGAATACTTGGGCTACAGAAGGCATTTTTGGTTGAATTGAGCTGAATTAAAGTCCAAGTTTTCTCTGAATAATACTTTTATCTTAAAGAGGTTACATTATACGGATTACTCATTTTAGGTCCTGTTTTGGATATATTTTAATTGGAGTGGAAAATCTCTGTCCATTTGGGTTGGGTGAGGAAATATGAGGGAAAATGTGCTTCTACTTGTGTTATTTTTCTTATATAGCATCATCTTTTTTTCTTTTAGTCTTCGTGGTAGTATTCATTACATGTTTAACATTGTTTACATTATTTCAGTTTTTTTTTTCTTTTAAACAACCAAGTGTTGTTAGTTTTCTAGAATTTAGATTTTTTAAGGGTAGTGGGTGCTATGCATACATAGCACTGCTTTTTGATAGATGTTTATGTCTATTGTAAGGTAATGCCCACCAGGGAAAAATATTTAAGTGGTTTTATTAAGTGGTTCTACTAGGGAAAATGATAAAGTACTGTCTTAACATTCAGTAATCTCTTGAAAATAGAGTTTAATATCTGAGAATAAGAATTGTAATTTAAAGACTTAAGGAGGAATATACTGCAATCCACATTTGTGGAATGGTGATATGATCTTATCTCCTCAGGCTTAAAATTGCTTCCACTAGTCCTTGTGGTCTTGTCTGATATGACAGTGTTATATAATTTACAGCTATGTGTTGCCTCATTCTATTCTGAGACTGACTGACCACGTAAAGATCTCAAAGCATTTGTCATACACGTAACATTCATAGGCATAAACTATATATAGAAAGATGATACTCTAAGTGATGAATACCAGTGAATATTTTTTGAGGGAGGGGATACTAGCTATCAGTTAAAATTCACAGAAACATAAAAAGTTATTTCATTCTAAATTTTTGATAATGAAATTATTTTTAGTATATCATATGAAACTAATTTATTTGAATAAGAAATTATAGTTATAAAATTGAAATCCATATAGGATATTATTTATCTCTTTTGAAAAATCATGTTTTATGGAGCTATATTCTGTTTTGTTTCATTTGGTATTTACTTTTTAAAAAAAGATCTTTGAATTTTACCTTTTTAGAAAATCATGTTTGCAAAAGATTCACAATTACTATGACAGAATGTAATAGGGCACTTTCATTAAAAAAATAATTATTAAATATATTAAATTTTTTTTTCTAATTTTTAAAAGCTTATTTATTTTTCCCATTAACAAGGTTGAGAGAGAGAAAGAGAGTGGAAGGGGGAGAGAGAGATTGCATTCCCCACCAGAGTTCCCATGTCATGATCCACCGCCCGCTTCAGTCAGCCCTGCATCATGGGTATACATGTGTCTGGTGTACTTAGGGAGTTCTCTAGGCAGGGCCCAGAACCTTCCCATATAGGATTGTCTTGCAGAGCATCACACTTTACCACCATCTAGCTCCTCTCTAACCATTTTTAAATTATTGTTGAATAACCAGGTTTTTTTGTCTAGTGTTTTTTTTAAGTCTTTAGTTTCTCTTAAATGGCTCACCACTTTTATAGCCTCTGCTACTTTTTGCCTCATATTTTATATTACTCACAGACTAGGAGTTGGGTCACACAGGTTCATAAATTTACTTTTATGTGCATTTATCTTTATGCATGTACATATTGCATGTATGTACATTTATTTTCTATTTTAAGATAGAAAAGACTTATCTTTCCAAAGTTTCCTCCCTCCACCACCCCCTTTTGCTTTAAAAAAAAAAAAAAGAAAAAATAGGGTCTCTAAGGTGACCGATGACAATTTTTTTGTGTCAAGTTTTACAAAGTGAGGGAAGTTTTGTGCATATACAATGTCAACTGAAATTAAAAGTAACTTAATAGCTTTTATTTGTTGAGCATTTTTCTGAACCAGATATTGTTCGAAGCCTTTTCTTCTCTTTTTTAATTTTTTAAAGAAATTTTTTTTTAGAGAGAGATTTTTGTTAGAGGGGTCTTGCCAGAGAGACTGAAAGTGAGATATCACTCCCCAGGGGGTGTGGGATGGGGTGGTGGTGGTGGCCATGCTGCAATCCTTTTTCTTCCATTCTCTTCTCAGGATTTTGGACACACATGCATATGCACCTGGTGTGACTTTCAAGCTGCCTGGTCTGGGACCCAAACCATGGTCAGCCATGTGGGAATCCAGTGACACAACCACTATGTCACCTGCTGGTCCCTATTCTAAGCCTTTTCTATAGTTCATTTTATCCCCACAGTAAACCTCAGGAGGAAGGCTTTCATTATCACCCTCATTTTTTCGATAAAGAAACTGAGGCACAGAGAAGTAATTTGATCAAGTTAATAGAATAAGAGGAAGAGCCAGGCTCTTATTTATCTAAGCCAGTATGTGATTCTGAAGCTAAA